AAAGTTTTATGTCTCAGTTTTGCGCCAAAGAGCAAGCAAATTATCTTCTTTTTCTTGGAGACTGTCTATATTGACGTGATCCTTCATGCTGTCTGAGCTGTCACAGAAACTCTGATTTCCATTGATACACTGTAAAAAAAAATAAGTTGATTCAACTTAAAATAATTTGTAACCTGGCTGCCTTAAAATGTTGTGTTCAATAAGCTAAAAAACATTTGTTGTTTACACATATATTGGAGTTCCTTAAACCTAGAACTGATTTAGAACATGAACACCACCACATCTCAAGAGTCCTTGTGGTTGTGCCACCACTGCTTCCTCCATCTCTCTCAATTCTTAGTTGGAGTATTCTGGTTTGAACAAGTAGGTCAGTGCATAAAATTCAATGTTATCCTCTTTCACATCTAAAACATCAGCCACTGTAACTTTGACGCTGTGAGCTTTAGACGTTGATACTGCTGCTGAAGGTCTGCACACAAGTCCACACTCTCCACTGTAAACAAACAGCGCCAGCTTACGTGTGAGTATGCGACCGTGCATACACGGTCATATACAAGTCATATAAATATACAACAAGCAGTGAAATGTAGGTCTGGTCTACTCAGTAGACTGTGCAATAAAAGAGATAATACAAAGAATAAAATAAATACTTTTTTTTAAATACAAAGGAAATTAATATATATATATATACATATGTATACATAGTTATTAAAACCCGAACTGTCAATGTGCAACGATTGAAACTAGCTAACAGTGTGCTGGGAGGATGACCTGCATAGATCAATATAAAGTGGAGTGTGTTACCGAGTAACCTTTACGGTCCTGTACTGTTGTTTTAACAGTTCTCACTGTGCGCCGGAGTGCGTAACATGCTGCTTTGTAATCAGTCATGTCTCTGGATCGTTCTATCAACCCATGGTTTTCGGTTAAAGAAAGTTTTTATTGTGATGAAGTGTGTTAACTCCTCAACAAGCAGGAAGGTTGCGCTAAAGGTAATGATGTTGTAAATAATGTTCAGTTTCTTGCACAGACCAATCGTTTCGCTTCATAAGACCTCAATACATCGTCAGGAGGCACAGGTATTAATTTGGTCTTGTCTGTGGATGTTTTCAACCCCAGAATCAAACCAAGGAAGACGTTGGTGAAGTAATTGTGTTGGAACAATTTCTGAGCATGGCTAGCCCCTGACATCAGGCCCGGACAGGCCATCGGGAGCACCAGGAGAATTCCCGGTGCCCTGTTTTTTTTTGTTTTTGTTATTATTATTATTAATGTTTTCTATTTACGCCTTCTCAATGTACCAAAGTGATAATTTTCGATTATTTCATTCGATAATAAGTCATAAATCCGGTAGTCTTGACTGGCAGTAAGCTTCCGTCAAACGGTTCCGAACAGAACCGATGCGCGGGACTCGATGAAACAGAGGAAGCGGACAGAAGAAGCAGTGAAATGTAGCAACATCACTGACCTATTCAGGGCTTCAAGTGCAGGTCAGTTTCATCTGTAAATACGCTATAGTTTTGTCTTTATTAACGTAGTTGAGTATTAAACTGCTAGTATCTGTTAGGCTATCAGTAGCACCCCATTATTATCATCATCATTCAGAATACGGTGCTAAAGTACATCAATATCGATTGTAAAGTTACATAAAAAAATTTAGCAGAGACAGATATTCACATGGACTTATTGTACAGGGAGGGACGGAGCTAGAGACAGCAACACACAAATAATATGAGTAACAGGCTCACATAGTGTGTTAGACTTTTTCAACAAATATATTGTATTAATTTTGACATTTAGGCACTTTAGAAATTGTGTTTTAATACCCTACCAGTCAAAAGGTTTTGATCAGTAAGATTATTTATTGTTTTTTAAAGAAGTCAGCAAAAACTGTAATTTCTATTAAAATGTAATTTATTTCTGTGATGCGCAGCTGTATTTTCAGCATCATTACTGCAGTCTTCAGTGTCACATGATCTTCAGAAATCATTATAATATGCTGATTTGCTGCTCAAGAAACATTTATTATTATTAGTATTATGTTGAAAACAGATTAGATTTTTTTCAGGTTTCTTTGATGAACAGAAAGTTCAGAAGAACAGCATTTATCTGAAATAGAAATATTTTGTAACATTATGAATGTCTTTATCATCACTTTTGATCAATTTAAAGCATCCTTGCTGAATAAAAGTAATAATTTCTATAGAAATTTCCCCTAGAAGAAAAAAAAAATACTGACTCCAAGCTTTTGGTATAGTCCATGGGTAATGTTACAAAAGCTTTTTATTTCAGATAAATGCTGATCTTTGGATCTTTTTATTCATCAAATAATCCTGATGTACTCAACTGTTTTAAATATTGATAATAATAATAACAACAAATAAGTTTCTTGACACTGAAGACTCGAGTAATGATGAAAATTCAGCTTTGATCACAGAAATAAATTACGTTTTAAATATATTCCAATCGAAAGCAGTTATTTTAAATAGTAAAAATATTTCACAATATTACTGCTCTTGCTGTACTTTGGATCAAACAAATGCAGGCTTGGTGAGCAGAAGAGACTTCTTTAAAAAACATTTTAAAAAACACTGTTCAAAAACTTTTGACTGGTAGTGAATATTTGAATGAAATATATAGGTTTACTAAATCTAGGGTAAAAGTCATTTTAAGATAAATAACATTCTTTGCTAACAAATTGAAATGAGGTCGACACAGTTAACAGAAACACACCGTTTTCCACGGCCCCAGACTAAGGATTTAGACCTTTTTTATGTGATGGCCATACAAATAATAGGGTTGTCTGTGGTTTCAGATGTTGTTGTGGATGTATAGGCTATATACAGGAAATAAGGGGCCAAAATCGCACCTTTTGGTGTACAACAGCTCGTCGCTGGAACAGGACCCTTAAAAGGACATATTTATTCCTTTTTTTTTTTTTACCCCTAATAGGTAGGCCTACAAATTAGTACCTTAAGGGTACGAATTACTACTCTAAGGTACTAATATGTACGGTGTCAAGCTGTTGTACACCAAAAGGTAAAATTTTGCCCCTTTTTGTTCTGTGTGGCCTGGATGAGTGTGAGATTTCCCGGCCTGAAATTGCGTCCCAGTCTGGCCCTGGCTGACGTGCAAATACGGATTGAAGAACATGACCCAAAAACTGCGTCATTCCGCCTATTTCGTCCAATGCTACTTTGGACCTCTGGCTACTGGCAGGTCCCCTTGAGCCCTCACTCACTCTCAAGATTTGACTACTTTTCACACTCCCTGGGGGCTCTTCCATTTTTCTGTTATGCCTTTTGGTTTACACATGTCTCCGGCTACGTTTCAAAGACTTATGGACCATGTTCTGTTGGGCCTTTGTGATTATTTATAGCTGATCCTGAGAACAACATCTCCATCATTCGAAGAAAGTGTTCCATCGCATTCACGAGGCGGGTTTCACCACCAACTCTTCCAAATGTGCCATAAGCCGAAAAGAAAACAGAGAACCTAGTGTATGTAGTCAGTAATGGTGTCATCAGGCCCCAAAGTCAAAAGATCGAGGCTATTCAAAACTGTCCTCTGCCACATACAAAGACCCAGATCTGATCATTCTTAGGGATGGCAGGTTAGTACAGAAGATCTGTACCTTCTCTACTGGTGTGGCATCTCTGAGCATTTTGATTTGAACGAATTGCCCTAACCAGATCTGCTGGACTAAAGAAGCCAAGCAAGCTTTTCAGGACATGAAGGCTGCCATGTGAAGATTGAGTGATTTATTGCCCTCAATTTGAAGAACCATTTGTATTGCAGCACTTCTGTTCTGTTCACTGAATGAACGAAACCGTTCGAAACCAGAGAATGAAACTATGGAAATGAGTCAGTTAACCAACCGTCAACGCCGTTTTACAACGGGGTCTACAGCTTATACTAAACCTCGGTTTCGTTTAGCTAGAGCAGCAGAAGATGATGAGAGAGAGAGAGAAAAATAGGGTCACTGATGTAGCGCCCTTTTAACTTCTGGCAAGGTCACACCTCCACTTAAAACTTTCAGAGGAAGGTTTACAACCCTTTGCTTGAAAGCTGGCTCATTTGCATGATCAGAGTGGGCAGGCGGTTCATGTCCCTTTACACTCTGATTAATATAACAGGAATACAATGCATGCTACGAGGAGGCCATATGTACACCAATGTGTAGGGCATTAAATGAGGATTAACCCCCAGATAATGTAACCTTATTGGTATCAAGCTTCCTTATCAAGCATGATACAAACAAGGTTACATTATCTGGGGGTTCAATCATGAAGCATGCATAAAACAGTATACAGTACAAAAGACACTATACAAGCCCGTAATAATCATACACACAGTGTCCCGGAGATATGCATGTTCATTCATAGAAGAGTCCCTTTTTATGAGCATTGTGTTTCTTTGCTATGGGGATTGTTCTTGCTTATAGCAGATCCATCACAGCATTAACAACTTTCAAGAGACTGTGAATAGCCTCTAAAGCTTGATTCTATCTGCAGCAATTTTACGGACATGTTAAATATAATTGCAGCAATATACGTCTATGTTATTACATTTTAAAGCATGTGTTTGAAAACAAACCTGGAAAGAGAGGATCTTTGAGGATCTGGGGAGAAGAACAACATTCTTAGTGCATTCCAGTGAATTTCATGGGATATAAGGGTCAAATTTTCGAAATTGAGATTTATGCATCATCTGAAAGCTGAATAAATGAGCTTTCCATTGATGTATGGTTTGTTAGGAGAGGACAATATTTGGAAATCTGGAATCTGAGGGAGCAAAAAAATCTAAATATTGAGAAAATCATCTTTAAAGTTGTCCAAATGAAGTTCTTAGCAATGCATATTACTAATCAAAAATTAAGTTTTGATATATTTACGGTAGGACATTTACAAAATATATTTATGGAACATGATCTTTACTTAATATCCTAATGATTTTTGGCATAAAAGAAAAATCTATAATTTTGACCCATACAATGTAGTGTTGGCTATTGCTACAAATATACCCCAGCGACTTAAGACACCTCAAACACCTTGTATTTAAATGAATGCAAAATCATTTATTTTTATTGGGAACAGCCCACAGTTAGAAAGGTTCATTCAGTTTTTCACCCAAAAAAATGCATAAACAAAATATTGAGCAAATCAGCATTCAGAGCACACTGTGAAAAATAACTTTTCATTTGTAATAATAGATGCAGATGCTACGTCCTTCAGTCCAGACCTGTGGGCCATTTGAAGTGAACTCTGACATTAAGACATCCTCCCAGGAAAAAAATAAAAATGCTATTAAAAGGCCTATCAAATGCTATTAAAAGTATCGTTTTCTACATTATATACCCAAACTGATACCTTAAAACAAAACAAAACAACACAACTATACAGAGAACAACTCACTGGGCTCGTTTCTTCTATAGCTCTACTTGATTTAAGGCACAACAAATGTGCTTTATCATATGACTATAAATATTTGTAACTTTAGCTCATACTTTTTTTACACGTCCATGCATCTATCCACACACTTCAAAAAGCCAGTTTTGATCCTGGTATTTGTTAAGGGGTGCTGCAGTTTTGGGATGAACTGAGGGTGAGGCTCCAGTAAACATTCAGAATAACAGCACTGAATATAGACGACTCCCAAATACACGAAAAAACACCCTGAGAGGTCAAATCTGTAAGTCTAAAGGCAACAGCTCTAGTGAAGCGTAATGAAGTCTGAGAAACACAAAGACATGAGGATGAATGTAAACAAGAGACTGCCTTTGGTTTGCCATTTCAAAATAAATCCACTTTCGGGGGCTTGTTCTTTTCGAGACTGTCCCATTAAGGTAAATGCTAATGAAGTGTCCATCCTGTACATTAGAGGAACATACGAAAGGGGTTTCACCATGTACTGTACTTCGAGATATCAACACAACACTTCTATGAACAGATTTAAAGCAGACAATCAAGCAGTTCTCTTGTATTTCCACCAGTCTGAGTAGAGTTCAATGAGTTCAATCAGTAACAAGAAAGCAGAGTGCAATAAGTGTTGCTGTCAAGGCTCCTTGAAGACTGATATATGGTAAATAAAAACTAAATTCACATTTGTGGCCCTGGAGCACAAAACCAGTCATGAGGGTCAATTTTGTAAAATTGAGATGTGTACATCATCTGAAAGATGAATAAATAAGCTTTCCATTGATGTATGGTTTGTTAGGATATGACAATATTTGGCTGAGATACAACTATTTGAAAATCTGGAATCTGAGGGAGCAAAAAAATCTAAATATTGAGAAAATCATCTTTAAAGTTGTCCAAAACTTAAGACTGCTTTTGTGCTCCAGGGTCACATATTAGATGTCAGAGTGTTGAAACTAATATCCTGAGGAATGTTTTTTTGGGTTGAGAGCAGCCTTTTTAGCTTCCTCAGGCAAAAGTGAGGGATCCGTCAAGATAGAGGTGCTGGTACAGAGCTGTCGTAACGTCCGGAGTACCACTGGAGGACACACACACACACAGTGAACATAATACACAGATAACACACAGCAAAACACTACCAATACATGAACATATTTCTATAATCATTTCACGATCAGTTCTCCTTTATGGTCATGTTTGCCAAAAAAAGAATTTTGGTGTTATGTTTAGTGACAATTTGTGCATGTAAAACATTAAATATTATTGTATTATTTAGCTTATATGCCATACATTCTACATTTTATTAGGAATTTTTCTATTTTGAATGCTTCTTAAATAAAAAGTTAACTTAGCCATATAGAGACCAGTAATATGCATATCACCATGCTCTAAAAAACTTTTACATTTTAAAAATATAATATAAAATACCATTCCAAGTTCCAGTTTAACATGCGTTTAGAAACAAATGGCTTCCTGCATATACATTGTAGTTTGACGTTTAGCCAAACAGACCGAAGCTTCTGTCCAGCAGGGCTGCGCAATATAGACAAAATAATCACATTTCAGTTCTTTCAATGGACACTGAGATTCCGATTATATTTGCAATTTTGGCAAATGTTTTTCCATATTTAAAAATTTTATTTCAGTGTACACATTTCAGAATAAAATAAAATAGTATTGTGCTTGATAAATAAAACTAACATCATGTCTCTAGAACAGACGAGACACAAACTACATTAATAAATGTATAAATATGTCTCAAGTGTAGTAGTCACAGGTATTGTATTATAGTATTGTCAAACTTTGACCATGTTCTTACGCATCTGAGATATAAATAACTAAAAAATAACTCTCTTCAGTTCACCATAAAGTAACTCAAATATTACTCTCTTTTTTTGATTCACAAATCTTTATCAACCCTCCGAAGATATTAGGCTGCTGTCACTTTAAGACCTAATGCACGGATCCAGTACACTGATACACATCTGAATTAAAATATAATTGCACAGCCCTGCTGTCCATTCAAAGAAAGATGAATTCTCAGCTTCCAGTTGCTGATATTTTAATGAAATGAAACGGAGAACTCACTAGGCCGGAGGACTGGCAGGGCGCAGTAGCGATCCAGCCACTGCATGGTGGTTTCACACAGCTCTGTGCTGTTGGTGGTCGACACCGTTGCCTTGAAGGACTCAAACAGAGGATGAATAATGACGCTGAACTGAGAGAGGAGTGTTAAAGAAAATCACACGCTTGTGGAGTCCAGTCTAATACACAGGACGATGAATAGGCCGAACAGTGTTGGGTAAATTATAAAAATTAAACCAATAAACAAACTACAGTAATGATGCTATTGTATTGATTTATTTTACAACTAAAATTACAGTTCTAAACATTCATGGCTGTCTTTTTCTTCACTTTCAAATGTTAATCTATAGAGCCAACGGCTCCATTACTAATGTAGGAAAACGGTTGATGTGTGTTGCATTTTTAAAAAAAATCCATGTTATAAATGACCCAAACTTGTTTTAAGTGACTGTGTACTTTGAGGACAAAATTCGTACCTCATACACAAAATGCATACACATGTGGGCAGATCCGGAAATGTCAATCCTAAATAAAAATTTAATTTAATAAAAAACTGTACGAGGAAATGATTTAGTGTATTCATATGCCATGTGACTACAGAATAAAACCAATACTGTGGACTGAATGATCTGAAGAAACTATTAGTTTGTTCAGTTCAATCATTTCAGACTGAAGGATACGATCCAGAACTTCCAGTTCTGAAGAGTTCTGTTCTTCACATAGTCGTCAAGCTTCTCCTTCATGTGGTCAAAGCGATGGCGTGCGATGGGAACCCCTGTATCAGGGAGCTGTTCCTGACACAAGCTGCAATAAATAGTGGGCATCTTTAAGAGTTCACTTACAGAGGTTACCTGTTTGAAAGCAGGTCTACATGCTAATATACAGTACTGAGCAAAAGTCTTAGGCCAGTACTATTTTCACCAAAAAAGCCAGTTATTTCTATCGTTTGCTGTAGTGTGTCAGTTTACATTTCCAAACATTCCTTTCGCCATTAATTGTAATAATGCAGTGAGATTTCTATGAACAACAGCCGGTGCTGCACACAGAGATCTGATCTCAGCATCATCCTCCAGTCTGTCTGAGATCACATGAAGAAACAGAAGAAACAGAGACAGACTAAATCCAGAAGAACTGTGGCAACGACTCCAAAACGCTTCAAGAAACCTTCCTGCAAAGCTCCAGTACTGTGAGAAGTTTTAGGCACTTGTGTAAAAATGCTGTAAAGTGAGGATGCTTTCAAAAATAATGTCAGAAATAGATTTTATTTAGCAATTAACTTCAATTAACTAAATCAAATCAACATTTTGGTGTGAGTACCCTTTATGTTTAAAACAGCTTTTGTCTGGTGCACTTGCACATAGTTTTTCAGGAAGCTTTGCAGGAAGGTTTCTTCAAGCATACCAGACAGACTGGATGATGTGGAGCACCGGCTGTTATTCATACAGAAATCTCACTGCATTATTACAATTAATGGCAAAAGGATTGTTTGGAAATGTAAACTGATATCTCCTACTGACACACTACAGCAAAAGACAGAAATAATTGACTTAAAACTAGGGATGCATGAACTAGGGATGCACGATATTATTGGAATGTTATCAAAATCAGCCGATAATGGCTTAAAATGCAAATATCGGCATCGGCCCGATATGAAAAATTATGCCGATATGCTTTGCCGATAAGATGAGTAACTTGCATGTTCTCAGGGTGTGATTTATTCATTAATGTGTAATATGTTTTACCCCCAAACGGATTATGAAAACTTAAACACAAGGAGCTCTAAAAGATCTTCAGAATTCGTACAACTCTTTTGCTTTAGACCATTTACAAATGCTAAACATTCAAATAAAATGTTAAAGGGCAGGTCATATGGGTTTTTGAAAAATACCTCTTTTGCAGTTTATAACGTAGCTATCCTTAAATGAAAAAATCTGCAAAGTTGTTAATCAAAAAAGTGTATGATAAATAAAGATATTGTCTCTCAAAAGAGAGAGTTAGCACTTGGCTACCGTATCCACCGTTATTGTTTTAACTGTTCACAGTTTAGCAGCTAAACTTTAGCTGTGGGCATTCGCTTGCATAAGGGCTTTTGTATTTTATGTCATTATTATAAGAACGGATTGGAGCACTATATTATTGTTTTATGCAAAGGTGCTTTCTCAATGGTAGCACTCGCTAACTTGCTCAAGGAATCCTCTCTGTGCCAATCACAGCAGGTTTGGCCAGCTGGCCAATCAGAGCAGAGTAGGCTTATGAAAGGGAGGGGTTTGCTCCGAACTTGCTCGGAACAAACCGTTTAGAAATCATTGGCAAATGACTCTAATATTAAATGTATATTCTGAGAAAATTACAATGTTTTCTGACCTTAGATGCATTTAAACCTGTTGTAGGGGACTCCAACACAATATTAGGACACTTTAAAATACCATATGACCTGCTCTTTAAGGATTGCTTTATAGTTATTTTCAAAGCTTTCAATGTACTCTCGTTATAAATGAACTTCATTGTTTATTTAATTCTCAAAAGTAAGTTTTTGTTAAAAACTAACCAAAATGAAAAATAATTTGTTTATAATCTCTGTACAGGAGAGACTTGGTGTTGTTTCCAAAGAAAAGGAAATATATCGGTATCGGCTATCGGCCAAAATATCGGCATATTGAATATCGGCAAAATCCAATATCATGCATTCCTACTTAAAACCATTTTTTGTTGGTGAAAATACTAATGGCCTAAGACTTTTGCACAGTATGTTTGTGTTTACTGAGCTCCCCATCACCGATATATCTGTGCACTGAAATAGCATGGCTACAAAGTAGCAGTTTTTCCAAATGTAACACTTTCAAATAGTAAAAGAAGAGTCTAATTCATAAATAAACACCTTATAGATGTATTAAGCTCCTCAATCTCCTCTCGTAGTCTCTTGGTCTCTTCCTGCATCTGTTGTCTCTCTAGTTGCAGTTTGCTAATATAGTCAACTGTCTTCTGAAGTGTCGCAGCATTACTGATCTGGAAACCCAATAATGGGTGACGGAAAATAATTACTTTTCACTATTTAAAATACTTGCAGAGACAACTACAAGCACGAATCAAGATGTGATTTTGAGAATCGAGTAAGGAAAGCCAAAAGCAGATTTACGTTTGATTGAGACCTGAGAGTCGGCACGAGATTGCACAACGTCTTGAAGCAGGCATTTATGGTGAATCGCCTCTTCTGCTCGGCAGATATGTGATTCACTCTGCGGCTCTGTGTCAAATCACAGGACAAAATTACAAACAGAGACACACTGATAAATGAACAGATATCTGGATATTTCAACATTAAAATTAGTGATAACCTTGCTCGTTTGGCCAGTTAGCAGAGTTCCTAGTTCCCCCTTATGTCAGTTCCCAAATTAAACAGCAGTCAATGGACAAAACAAAAACAAATGTGAATCCAGTAAATATTCAGTAAAACTAGTGTTCATTCAATATAAACAATTTTCTGTACACCTCATATTCCATCATTATATTGACTCATAATTAGGGCTGCCAAGTGATTACCATTTTTAATCTAATTAACTGCATGATTAATCAAATTTTGAGCTGAGAATTTACCCCCTACAAAAAGATAATTTAAAGTCATTATTGTGTTAAATGAGAACAGCATTGAACAGAAAAGCTTTAGAAATATATATTTCATTCAATACAGAATGTATTACACATAAACTCTTAAGGCTACAATGTGGCCATAACACTGTTTTCAGAAGCTGCATCTGAAGTGTATTTACACAGACTGTTCCGGAGGTGGCATGAATGCATTTACACTGCAATTAGAGCGGCATAATTAATGCAATGAGACTGAAAAAATTGAATATTACCACATGATTTCATTTTTAAAAAAACAATAATTCTCTTAATATGAAACTAAAACCACCAGTAAATGAGTTCATTGAACAGATTCAATTAAATGACCAGTTCATTCAGAAATGAAGCAACTGACTCTCTCTACAAATGGCTCACTGAATCACTGATTCATTCGTTCAAAAACGTGGATTCAATCAGCGCTTTGAGTTGCTCAGAAAGGCACATCTGTTCTGCTGTGGCTTTGTTCGGGACAATATTTGTAGGTGAAATTGTCAAAAACAGACAATACTGTCTATGAAATGCACAATATTCACTTCCTGCTTATTGAACTATTGTATGAAATCAATATCATTGATTTGCAATCATGCAGA